CCATCAAAGGCGTGGAAGTCTTCGCACACTGCGTGGTGGCACGGGCTGCCACAAGTCATACCCTTCTGAGACTTCGCTGCAACAAGCCTCTGTGCAAGAGAAACAAAACGTGTGATTGGCTCTTAAATGCGATTACTAATTTGCAGCAGCTGAACAGTGATAGAAATCATGGCAATGAATTCATGGCCGCTTTATTTAACTGCCTTCAGGGAAGATTACAGTAATGAAATAGTGATAACTTTGAAGAGGCAATTTCCAGGGATGTTTGCAGCCGTTTTTCCCAGCAAATGCTTCAAATGGAAGCTTAGCGCTTCACTTCTTCAGGGGCTTTATCTGTAATATTTTGGTTGAGGAAAAAACATTTGAGGAGCTTATCATTGCATCGGACTCAGTTAGTTCCCTCTTCCTGGCTGTTTTAGGCCAGAATAAGACTTGTGAATTTTGTAACAGATCCCAGGAGGTTTTATTTCTGTGGGAAATGTTTTTCTCTCTCTTCAGTCATGTGGTATTTTCATCCGAAATTAAGCTGTGACTTTACGAGATGCTGAGTTGACTGTTGCTGTTGATTTCAATGCCAGCAGGTGATTGACACTTTGGTAGTCCCTTGTAATAGGAGACAATGGACATAGTGTCAATCCATTTGATTTGAGGACTAAAGGTGAATAAGAAAAGTGTGGAACATGCAGTTAATCTTTGATCACAGAGTTTTTAAGAAATAGCTGACCCGCAAAGGATTTTGAAGATTTCCAGCACCAACAAGTTTTTTCACATTTGAAATATGTCACAGAACCACTTGATAGTTCTTGATTTTTAAAAATATTAGATTATTGTAGAGATGGTTAAAAAAGTAGATAGGCTGCCAGTGGTTGTACATAGATACTCATGAGGATATCTCATTGGTTGAATTTTGTTTTAATTCCAAAAAGTAAAACTGATTGATTTACGATTTGTCATTTATGAGCTTTGTCAGTGTTGATATAAATTTTCATATCCACCTTTTGAATATGAATATATATTGATGAGGTCTAGTGAACAAGGTGAGCGTCATGACTTTTCGGTATATGGACTGTTTCCTTTACAGCTTTGTTATTGCATTACATGGTAGGAAGAATATAGCGTAGTTAATCTGTCATGCCACATGGAACTGTTATGAGATCAGGGACTACTGGCGAGTACAGTCTCTGCATGAAACCCACCAGCGTATGACACACAACGTGTGCAGTCATCGACTGTGTACACTCACCAGCATTTGAAATGCTGCTAGCTTCCTCCAGGGGTCACTCTGCTCCAAACTTTTCTGAAACTTTCTACTCCTCTTCAGCATGGTGATAAATAACTAGTTCATTTCAAGACTCACTACATTTCTTTTGACATATATATTTATTCTAAACTGACAATAGACAAATGAATGTAACATGTATGGACTCGAAACAGGTTTTTTTCAAAGGACATGAAGAGTTGAATCCTCCATCTTGAGTTCACTTTGCACATTTCATTACGCCATGCCATTTGTTGGTAAGTACCACTGACAGCTAGTCATGTCTTCACATTTCATGGCGGACTCACTATTGAGGTGATTGCACTTCCTCAAGGTATGGAGGTTCTTCCAGAAACCATTAATGGTTCTTACCTTGGATGTCCTTCCTTCGGAGCGGATGCAAGAGGGTGACACTGAAAACTTGAATTAGCCTCCTTTCAGAAGGCTACATCTGGGATGCTGTCAAATCTGCAGAGGCTTGAGTTAGGGAAACACGATGTTGAGGTTGGCTGTTTCTGTCAGTGAGCTGCCTGCCAGATTGGCTGTTACAGACTGGAAGAAGTCCATGCAGCTTGATGGAAGCTGTTGTTGCAGGGTGCCATTGTGTGGCTTGTAATCAGAACGTGTACACACCTGTTGAAGACCACTTTAGAAAAAGCAGATGAGGAGAGTAGCTGTGAGTGGTTGTAAGGAATGAAGGACTCGATTTGAAGGACACTTGAGAAAATAGTCAATTTGACAGATCGTCCTGTCGAGAAGGTTTTAAGTGATCCAAAATTGTGTTCTTATTAAGATGCACTTTCAGAAGTTTTTGGTAACTGTTATAATTTTTGTCAGTGTTATTAAGTGAATTGGTGATGTTGGTCTGTAGAATCCTGCTAAATTGTGTGTTAAATTTGGTATCACCTGACATTATTCTTCTCAGTGCTCCAGATATAACCTGCCATCAAGATCCTTACTATTTCCCACTGAGTCCAATATCTCTTACCCTTTTAGAATGCTTTGCGCAAATTCAATGTGGCTTTAAAGCAAGTCGGGTAGAAATTAGTGGTCAAAGGTCATAGTAAGTCGGATAAAAATTTGTGTGACCTACATCAATGTCTGCTGATTCCCAAAACATGAAGGCTCACACTGAGGATAGTCAGCACATTGATACTACTCAACATTTGCTAAGGACCACACCTTTGACTGAAGACGACTATTCTGGTCCTCAGCAAATGTTGACTACTATATGTGGACAGACTCAAAGTAGCCCCATGAGTGTGAATCAAGTGTAACCTTTATGTACTGCCATACAGACTCTTACCAACCACTCAGGACAATTGACAGTGTGGAGAAGGAAGTCATCCTGCCCTGGGCCCTACAGCCATCAGGCAGTGAGAGCTTAACATGCATCTGATGGTCATAGAGCCGTGTCTTCAGGCAACAGCAATTGCAGGTTGAAGAGAAGGGCAGATTTTAGGAAGCATTTCTTTTGAAAGTCATTGACTTTCGAATCATTGGGGTTTGACGGTGCTGCAAGATAGGAGATTTTAAGATTACGTTTCTGCTGGGGGGAGTTAGGTGATGAACTGACCTTGTGACATTAGTGTTTCACAATTTTGCAAACGCTCTTTCTTGGTTGCTACAATAAAACTAAGTGATACACCCGGAATCATTTTCTTACACACTCTTTCACACTTGATTGTAGGGTAAAACATGTTCGAGGGTTTTAAATCTCATAGAATGCAAAGAGGAAGTGGTTTGATTTTTCTTATTATGAACTGAAACAACATTTATCAACAACTTTAAATTTCATGAACCTCAGGAAACAGGTATAAAATATCTCTTGCATATGTATATGTACTTGAAATTGAAATTCTTAGAAGCGTTTTGGTTTTTCTTGGCTACATATACAATGGTTGCAAGTTCAGTCTACTGAAATGTAAGGAAGGCATTTTGGGTTATAGTTTACATCATTCCTCACATTTCCTTATGTAGATTGTGGTCAAATACAAAAAAAAAGTCTCGTGAGGCACACTCACATGTTACAGTATCAGGGGAACTTGTATGTATGAAATCCCTGGGATATTGCAACATCCCCGTATGAGATTTAACCCGACTAGAGGACAGTACCAGATTATCACAGGAGGATTGTTGCGTTTCATTCCTAGAAAGCAGGTAGTTACAACGTGTGAAGCCCATTTCCATTGTCCCCTGCCATGATATTGCTGGGATATTGCTAAAAGCAGCTAAAATCCAACTGTCTCTCGTCCCTAGAAAGACTAGTCAGTCAATTTCCTTTGATACATGAACATTCATTCAGCTTCTAAAGTAAAAATGTTTGAATACTATTTAGTCTATCAGCCAGACTAATTCACCTATTCTCCATCAAAAAGGTCATTTGGAGCAATGAGCGTTTCTCATGAAGTACCTAACTGGAACTAACCACTCTTCCTTTGACCCTGATAGATAAAGATGTCCGACCCCGTCTAGCTGTACTTTCTTCATCAGCTTCTCTTCAGCATCTGCTCCGGCACGAGATACCAATTTTTTGCCCTAATTGCTTCATTTTCATCAAGGTTTAGTTTTGATTACCCTTGGGAACTACATAAATGCTCTGAATGGGTGAAATATGTGTCATTGACCAGCACTTGTACCATAGGGGTAGGGAAGAAGTGGCTGTGTTCTGTCCAGATTTGGGGTTCATTGCATAGCAATGGCAATGATTGTGTCTGGTGTGAAATTGTAAAGTCTGTCATTGGAGCTCCTTGACATAAAATTACCGGAACCTTCTTTGGGAAACCATAGATGTTCTTCAGTTATAACTGTAAGTTGTCCTGTAAGTTGATTTAAGAAGTTAAATCTTGTTGCCTGACAGTGTCTTTGTATTGCTGTCAGGGCTGTTCCATGTCCTAACCTGTAACCACTTCCTTCTGTTCAGTCAACTGTTTTGTGTCTCACAGATCTTATTATCATTTCCTGCCATCTTCATAGAGCGCCAGGGGCGGTCGGGTAGCCTAGTGGTTAAAGCGTTCGCTCGTCACGCCGAAGACCCGGGTTCTATTCCCGACATGAGTACAATGTGTGAAGTCCATTTCTGGTGACCCCTGCCGTGATATTGCTGGAATATTGCTAAAAGCGGCGTAAAACCATACTGACTCACTCACTCACAGAGCTTCAGTACAAGTCAACTTTATCCTCTGTGTATCAGTACTCCGGATTACACACAGAAACCATTCAAGATATCTTTGTGCCATTATGCATGCATTCCTATTTGTTATTTATTTACAGAGCAGAACTCACACGTATATATACGAGACGTCTCATAATCTTGATGAAGTTGCAGCACTCTGATATCTTTTGGCTGTTATGTGTGCAGTACAGGAGAGGTGCCCTTATGAAACCTAGTTGCAAACTTACGTATGGTATTGGTTTGAATCTCTGTTTGTCGAGGTGTGGTGAGGTAGCTTAGTGGTTAAAGTATTGCTTGTCACATCGAAGGCCCGACACGGGTACAATATGTGAAGCCCATTGTGGGTGTCCCCTGCCGTGATATTTCAGGAATATTGCTAGAAGCAGCAAAAATCAATACACTCACTCACTAATCAGCAATTTTCATTTCTGATCCTAAAGTAGTGGTCTGGAAGACAATGATTAGACTGGGAAGGATTCAATACGTTCAGTGGATGAGTTGAATCAGTCTGTGGAATCCAATATAATCTGTGTTTGCTGCTGTCTTACAGTGTGTTTTTTGTTTCAGATCTATGTGAATAGCGAGCATGTAACAACAATAGGTGAGGGTGGGAGTTTCGGTGAACTGGCCCTCATCTATGGAACCCCCAGAGCAGCTACAGTCAAGGTGAGTCTCAGCAGGAGAACACTGTGGAGGATAGGTCCACAGCAAACTATGCTTGTTGTAACAGGTGGGTGAATCGATTGGATGGTCATGCTTGGTGACTTGGTTGATTGCAGTTCATAATTCCCTGATAACAGGGAACATTGCTTGTAATACCTTCACGGTTTGTCTGGTCCCGACTCAATTATTTTCAGGTTTCTATGCACCCGTTATGATCTGGGTCAGAATTGGTCTTCAGCAACCCATGCTTGCTGGAAAAGGCGACTATGCTTGTGGTAATGGGTATTCATGATGAAGGTCTGTGGGAATGAGAATGTATGTTGGCAAGGTGGAGTCACAGTTTCATTAAGGATGTGATCAGAAAGACATTAATACAACTAGAGAACTTACAGTCTGAGATTCTATTTACCTTGACTGGATTTCTAGTACAAAGTGACAGTAGTTATTCTAGAGTGTTGTCCTAGTGACACACATCTTGTATCTATTGTCAGTCCAGTCACCTCATACCCTTACCACAGACGATTGGGTAAGATGTAACCTCAACCTAGTATCTGTAATTTGTAGGGTAACTGGTGTCAGTGGTATGAGTAAATGTACTGATACTGTTAGGGTCTTGCCCGCAGGATGCCAACAGTACTGATTGGCACATCTCAGAAGAACTGCCTAGTCCTATAAATTGACTAAGTAAGTGGATACGTTTGGTCTTTGAGAGACTTATACTTTGTAGAATGGGGGATTTTGAATTCAAGATGTTAATTCAGAGTTCTCTCATGTCCTGAAGCCCATTGTAGTGATACTGATGCAATGACATCGATTCTGTGGTTGTATGAGCTAGGAGAAGACAATAATCAATATCAGGTAAATTATTGTGAAGTCCCGACGTTTATTGTTGTCGACTGCCGATGTAAATCTTTCTCTTTGAACATTGATGGAATATAATCTTCATTGAAACAAGCAAGTTGATAGTATTTGTGGGATTTTATCAGCTTCAGTTTGAATTATTACTGAAAATCTGATTGCAAGAAAATAACATATTCTTACTGATCTATTTTCTATTATTTAACATAGTTGCAGGGGCGGTCGGGTAGCCTAGTGGTTGAAGCGTTCGCTTGTCACGCCGAAGACCCGGGTTCGATTCCCGACATGGGTACAATGTGTGTAGCCCATTTCTGGTGTCCCCCGCCATGATATTGCTGGAATATAGCTAAAAGCGGTGTAAAACCGTACTCACTCACTAACATAGTTGCAGGTTTCCCATACTAATCTACCCTTAATGTGGTTGAGGTTTCCATACAGTTCTCATAACCTTTGGTCCAATACACAGGAAGTACTGTGCTCAGCTCAGTGGCAGTCACCTGGGCTGCAACTAATGAGGACTACAAACTCTACGAAATACTTTTTTAAGCCATGTGAAATGGAATAACAAGTTTTAAGACTTAGGATTAGCCATTCAACAATATCAGATATGTTATTGTTAAGCAGTGAGAACCAACATTACTTCATGTACAATGGAAGAGTCCAAAATCAATTATCTGCTACACCTTGTAACTGTGAAATCAATGCTTTTCTTTTGAGGAGGTATATATAATGCTGTCGAAAATAACTTGAAACCCAACAAACATAATAGAAATTACAAATTAGGTCCATTGTGTTTTGAAGAGAAACCTTTGTAGAGGCTATCATTATACTTTGTGAAGACGCCATCATGCAGCCAGAAAATAGCTTATCTGTGAAGTAACCCGGTTGTGTTCAGCCCAAAATACACTGAAGGCATATAGTAGTTAGGTTTCCCGGCTTTGTACAGACCGAGATTCTCTGACAGTAAGAAGCCTTGTCTTGGTCTTCTGGCGTCATTGTCCTTCCAGAAGGATACCAATAATGTCTTCAGTTATGATCAGAGCAGAGTCAAGAGGCTGACAACAAATTGCTGGCTTGTTGAAGACATAGGGTAGCGTTAGCTGGGGGCAATACAGAACTGTCATTCCAACCGGGCTCACTAAATACTTCAGGTTCGTGTTTACCTGTTTTAGGCTTGGATGGTCTTATTGACCTTCTCAAGCTCATGCTCATTTCCTTTTTCGCCTTTTGTAAGATATTGTTTGTCAGTGGAATTGAATCATGTCCACAATCAGTAATTGCTGGAAAGTTGTCATCAGTGCACTATTGAGTAAAATTAATTAAATCCAAGAACTAAGGGGCCACAGTTTTCTTAAAAGGTGTCAGACTTATATGTGTCTTTTGCATTGCTCGTAAAGTCTTAGCTAATGAATCTATTGGAATGCCATACAATGAACCTGCATACATTAATTAGGAGAAAATATTAAGAAAAAGTAATTACCAATGCTCTGTTCTAATACTGTCTGAGACCAATTACCTAATCATGATCAGTTTTTTATACTGTTACACAAACATTCCATACCCAATTTTCTCGAAAGTATTGATGCATATGCTCTCATTATGTTTCATCTGGACATTGATACATAGGCAGATAGGATAAGGGCGTATGAGCAAACGGCCAGTGTGGACAAACATGCCCAAGCACTTCCAGATTGCTACATGATTAGAAGCACCTTGTCCTTAAGCAAATGTCACATAAATTGTGGCATGGTGTGCAAGTCTGTTGCTGAAGACAGGGTGCTAATGATGGGGGTAATGGGACAGTGCGCTGTGTCAACTTGCCACGAGCCAGCCAGAACGATGTTGTCAACTTACTTGGGTTCTTGAAGTACTGCGTAGTTAATCGCCTAGTCGAAGAGCGTTTCCATAAACACTTTGCAATTGCCGTCTTAAGTGTGGTCGCTGCTATGGGCTAGAAGGTGTTGGACTCTTCTGTCCTTTAATTTTCCTTGCCTTGTAAACTAAGAGACAAAACCTGTTTTTTTGTCAGTTCTGTAAGATGTTAAAATGCCCCTAAGGTCAAAAGTAATTGGTTTTGAAAAAGGTAATAATGGATGGTGATGTGCTTGCGTGAATGGAAATGAATAGTTTGTTGCTCTTGGCAAGATTGCAGTGCAGGTATTTAGGTAAATTAATGTGGGGTTTTGTGGTCATATGATGTTAGTTGTTTTTTTAAAGCATTGTCAAAATAGTTTCAAATGATTATATATTTGTCCTTGAGTTTGTTTGGTTACTTTGAAAAATGTTTTTCACATCATTAAATATTTGTCCTTGGATTTCTATATGAATGTCTTTAAAACAATCTGTACTTAAAATAATGATGATAGAAGATATAGCTGTGTATCTAAACAGTGCTACAATATTTTTAGAGTAGATGAGATGTGTGCGTTGGATCATCTTATGGCTTCTGCCTGGATCCATTCATTACAAAACATTGAAGAAGATTATATAAATGGCAAGCCTGTTTCATGGAGATGTTGAATCTGCCCACCGCTTGGTTGTGAGGAAACATCCTATAACATTGTTACAGCTACTCTCCTTATTTCCCCCTTGGGTACACTTCTTATATTGACTGGCTGTTGACTAGATTGTTAGAGCCTTGACTGCTTTGTAGACCAAACACATAGATCTTTAGTATTGCTGACTGTCATAAAGCACCATTCACTGTAGGTTGTAGCTGAGCCTGGAGAAGTCTTTCACAAACTGCAATCTTCCACCATATTGTTTGTGTTTACCTAGCTTCACATATTTTTGTTCAAGGGTTAAATGTAACCAAGAGTCAGTGTCAGTTACCATTTATGTTTTCTTGAACATTTATGCTGGAATTATTGACATCAGGCGCCATGAAATGTGTATATAGATTTGTTTTGAAAGTGAAGTAAACGTTTCTCATCACCTTCTGTTCCAGGCCAAGAGTGATGTGAAACTATGGGGAATAGACCGAGACAGCTACAGGAGAATTCTCATGGTGAGTACTCCATCACTGTTACAACCATTGTACTCCGTCACTCTTACAACCATTGTATTCCGTCACTGTTACAATCATTGTACTCCGTCACTGTTACAACCATTGTACTCATCTCAATCCTTGTACTCCATCACTGTACAATCCTTGTATTCCATCACTGTAACAACCATTGTACTCCGTCACTGTTACAACCATTGTACTCCATCTCAGTCCTTGTACTCCATCACTGTACAATCCTTGTATTCCATCACTGTAACAACCATTGTACTCCGTCACTGTTACAACCATTGTACTCCATCTCAATCCTTGTAGTCCATCACTGTAACAATCATTGTACTCTGTCACTGTTACAACCATTGTACTCCATCTCAATCCTTGTACTCCATCACTGTACAATCCTTGTATTCCATCACTGTAACAACCATTGTACTCCGTCACTGTTACAACCATTGTACTCCATCTCAATCCTTGTAGTCCATCACTGTAACAATCATTGTACTCCGTCACTGTTACAACCATTGTACTCCATCTCAATCCTTGTATTCCATCACTGTAACAATCATTGTACTCCGTCACTGTTACAACCATTGTACTCCATCTCAATCCTTGTACTCCATCACTGTACAATCCTTGTATTCCATCACTGTAACAACCATTGTACTCCGTCACTGTTACAACCATTGTACTCCATCTCAATCCTTGTAGTCCATCACTGTACAATCCTTGTATTCCATCACTGTAACAACCATTGTACTCCGTCACTGTTACAACCATTGTACTCTGTCACTGTTACAACCATTGTACTCCATCTCAATCCTTGTACTCCGTCACTGTTACAATCCGTGTATTCCATCACTGTAACCATCATTGTACTCTGTAACTTTTACAATCATTGTACTCCATCTCAATCATTATACTCTGTCACTGTTATAATCATTGTTCTCTGTCACTGTTACAATCATTGTACTCTGTCACGGTTACAATCATTGTACTCCATCTCAATCATTGTACTCTGTCACTTTTAAATCATTGTACTGCATCTCAATCATTGTACTCAATCACTGTTACAATCCTTGTACTCTGTCACTGTTACAATCATTGTACACCATCTCAATCATTGTATTCCATCACTGTTAGAATCATTGTACTCCATCACTGTTACCATTTTACTCCATTATTGTTACTATCATTGTACTCCATCTCAATCATTGTACTCTGTCACTTTTAAAATCATTGTACTGTATCTCAATCATTGTACTCAATCACTGTTACAATCCTTGTACTCCGTCACTGTTACAATCATTGTACTCCCTCACTGTTACAATCATTGTACTCCATCTCAATCATTGTACTCTGTCACTGTTACAATCATTGTACTCTGTCACTATTACAATCATTGTACACCATCTCAATCATTGTTTTCCATCACTGTTAGAATCATTGTACTCCATCACTGTTACCATTTTACTCCATTACTGTTACTATCATTGTTCTCCATCTCAATCATTGTACTCCATCACTGTTGATATATACTCCACAATGATCGTACTCTACACAATACATGCACACAGTGAATACATTGTCAGACTAAAACATTTGTCATACCTCCATGTCAGAATGATGAGATCTGATTGGTCCACGTTATCTTGATAAAATATTGTGTAACCCGCCTTGGAGGGTAATCAATTTCTCAGCAGGGGAATAAATCTCTTATACCCCACCATGAGCAAGTCAGGCTGCATGTCGATTTCTGAGTGACAGAATAGATCCCTTATGCCCTGCTTCAAAGCAGAAAGTCGCACGTTTTTTCCCTGTTTCAATGGAAGTCACGTGACATAGCAAACTAACCTCAGCTCAATCAAACAGCCATTTTCTATCAATTTTGAATTTGTTTGAATTCTTTTACAATGTCATATTAAAACATGTCGGTAAGATATATTAGTTGTAGCAGGATCACAAGGGGTGTATGGGGTAATATGCGTCCCTCGTTAGGTTTCACACTGCTCGCCACCGCCTTGCCTTGTGGTATAAAACCTAACATGGGACGCATAATACCCCATGTACCCCTTGTGAACCTACTACAACATATATTGTATGCCATCGCTTATATGAATCAGATTTTAATATGAATATATATCTTTCAGGGAAGCACAATCAGGAAAAGGAAAATGTATGAAGAATTTCTTGGGAAAGTATCAATTCTTGGTAAGAATGAAATTTCTGCTGTTTCAGGGAGTTAAAATTAATGTCACATCAGCATTATTTCAGCCATATAGCGACTGCTGCTTTCAAATAAATTCAAGTAAATCTTTATAAGAATATCTGCTAATAAACCAGTGGTACGACGGTTGACTGGTAATCAAGATTGGAATAAAGACATGACACGTAAATAAATCTTCTGCTCCTTGTGTGTGTGATGTTGCACTCGGCATTATTCCAGCTACCTGAGCTCACTTTAGTCACTATCTGCTCCAATGATAATTTTAGAAGTCTGTAACAGTCTGTAAAAAGGCATCAGGGGACTATTTTCGGGGTGAAGGAGATAGTTGGGAGCCTGCTTGACATTATCGGACACTTTGTCTGTTGTGTCTGACAGAGAACCTGGACAAGTGGGAACGTCTCACAGTCGCAGATGCCCTGGAGCCAGTCATGTTCGAGGACGGAGAAGAAATCGTCCGGCAAGGTGAACCAGGAGAAGATTTCTTCATCATTTTGGAGGTAAAAGCTTTTGTCCGACTGTTGTCTTCTTTATGGGCGTAGGAGTTCAGGTGAGCTTTAAATGAGGACTGCAATGCACCCTTTACAAAGTTATCTCTTATATTTTATCCAAACTTCCTATCTAGCTTGACTAGAACTTAAGTACATTATCAATGCTCTAGTAACTATGTCCTCATGAGCTGAATTTGTGCAGAACACAATTTGAACACTACATGGGTTTCCCAGTCAGGGAAACCATACCGTGGTAAAGGTCGGTGATTAAAAAGAAAAAGCACTGTTATTTTGGGCTGTTCAAAACAAGGATGTGTGTTTTGATGGGGAGGTGATGTGAATGAGGCAGTGCGGGGGTTGCTGCCTAACTTCTGGCACCTTGTGACCTGGGCTGGTTCATCGTCTTTCTTAATACAGCATTATCCCATGCTTTAGAAGGATGACAAACAACCTGTCATCAAATTACTCAGAACAACCTTGAACACTGCCAAAGTTTTTAAAAAATGGCATTAAGTGCACTTGTGTAATTTCATCCGAGTAGGAGTTTGGTGAACATGTAAAATGTCTCTGCAGTTATTTGGTTTGCTTGTTTAACACTACGGCATTAGGACAGAGACTGTGATCATGAAACACTCAACGGTAGTGATGGCATTTTTCAGCCAGTGTAATAGAGTAGCGAGGCTGCCTCTGGTGTGGGTATAAATGGCGTAACTTCCTGGCGCTATCCATGGCACTGGTGTGATCGATCAGTCTGATTGACTGGATATTGAGCGGCGTTGATTACACAAATGTCACAGCAAGGAATGGTCTTGAGCAGCATGTTTTGACCTTTAGTTAATATACAGACTTGTCACATCTTTCTTGGGGATATGCTGGGATTTAGATAGACTTTTCTTGGAAAATAAACATTGTACACATCCTTTTTTTCGTTTTTTTATTTTTTTATTTCCTTCAGAACTAAAAAGGTGTTTCTGTGGATTTTTTGTAACTATGTTCCACATTAAATCTCCAAATGTAATCTTGTTTCGTTTTTGTCAATGCGAACCAAATATCAAACCTAGCTACATCTTTACTCACACTGTTTTTTTAAGGTTCACATAATTATCTTCACACTCAACTAATGTTTATCTGACGTTCTGATAGTCACGTAAGTCTTTGCAGGGCATGAATACAGGTCAAATATAAAAATTACCCGAGTGACAATGAAATCTTTGATTGGCATTAAGAAGTTGGAAGAACATGGAGACATGACACGTTTATGGGTAACAACTTGTTCAATAACCTGGTGAAAGGGCAGGAAGTGGCCTTGAAACGTAGTTACAACCAAAAATCAAGTTGTTTTCTAGAAAAGTGTATGTCCTCCAAGTGAGAGAGTTTTCATTTTGAACTATGGAAACACGTGGACTATGACAAACTGTTACATAGTCTGACGTTTTTTTCCCTTAATCATAGTCGAATGGCATTGAGGTCAAAGCATCTGCTCATCCAGATAGACAGTGCAGCACTTAGTTGCCAGGGTGACAATAGAACCTTCTAAATGATGCCGTTTCATGCCCTCTATCCAAAAACTAGAAGCCGGTTCTCTATTAAGATGCAGGGTCTGTAATGCTGTCTATGTTGGTATGTAATGTTGCAAATATACCGTTTGTATGACTTGCGGTAAGGTCGCGAGTGAGTTGTCACTGTGCAAGCATGAAAAGACGCTGGGCTTCTAATACACACCAGCCTCTGATAGATGCAGAGTCAATGGCTTGCCTGAAATTAAAAGATGCCCAGGCATTTAATAGAAGAAATAGATGTAGACGTCTGTTTTGCTTGTAAAACATGTTATCTCCGTTGACTGCTGTAGGGTCAGGCTGCTGTCTTACAAAGAAGATCGGACAACGAAGAGCCAGTAGAAGTGGGCAGACTTGGGACATCCGACTACTTTGGTAAGCGAGGCCACAAGCTGCACCCACAGATAGCCTTCAGCACAGCAGGGCTAGCAATTAGCTTATTCCAGAGAAGCAATATGATGCAACTGTTTCAATGAGCATGTTCATTATATGCTAGACAAAATACAAGCAGGGGCACGGGTGGCCTAGTCGTCTAAGGCGCCGCGATTCGCTGTGCAGGGTTGCGTCCCTTGGGCACGCCAGAAACCTATGATTGTGGGTTCGAATCCCAGTTCGCCCCGATTATGTTTCTAGGTTTGTCAGCACCATACCCGTGCTCGTGGGTTTCACCAAAGTGGTAAACATCTGAGACCTGCATCACTTCGGGCTTTCCTCCCACATTAAGCTGACACGCCGCGATATAACTGGAATACTGTTAAAAGCAGCGTTAAACCCAACTCACTCACTCACTCACTCACTCACTCACAAGATACAAGCGTGCTTACAACAGTTATTTAATAGAGCTAGCATGTGTAGACTTTCTTTTGCATGAATACAGATATGTCATTAGCATAAATTTGCCACCGTGACGGCAAAACCGATGTGACTTCATGTGTGCTAGTTTACACACCTGGTCCCATCACAGACATATATGATTGGGGGGATTAGAAGTCAGGCATCTATTAACACATTAAGCCCACCTCACTATTTAGTCCTTGCTAACAGGTTTGCTCAGAACGACCCTAGTCCCTGATAACGATCCAGATACAAATCGGAAAGGTAATGATCACTCACAGAATGATAAAAATAGGGCCAGGATCACCAAGCATCATAATCTTCCTTAATAAGGCGTAAGGAAAATAATTGTCTCAAAGCTGTCCCTATTGCAAGGAGAATTGTGTGTTACTGTGTGTAACATTAATTTTCATTTCTGGAGCCATGTTTGGTTGCACTATATGAAAATATACATATCAGTCTTACGACTAGAAGCTGTTTTTGATAAATATTTTAAATTTATTTAAAGAAAATATTTTCCAATTATTTAACGAAAACAAATCACAGTATCTCATGTTGTTTGGTAGTCCTGCCTCGTGCTTGGTGCAAGAGGCAACTGGGGATGTACAATGATTACTTATCTTTCCTTAACTTTGATTCCTTACACTCTTTGAGGGCGGCCATGATATACAGCCAGTCTTTACCAGAAACATTTGTTGCTACAGGCCCAAAACTTGTGTCAAGGCAACATTTTCAGAAGATTTTAGTGTCAGAAATATTCAACATGTAGTATGTTGTATATATTCTGTATCTGTTATGTTGTATACATATTCTGCATCTGTTGATGTTGGAAAGAAGTTAAGTATCCTGACTGCATTGGTGCATGGTTCAGATGGGCAGATACTATTTGTATCTCAGCTAGTTATGGATAGTTAACAGCAATGAGGACTTCTGTTGAAAATGTAATTTTTTTATAGTGTGATGACAGCCAAACGATTTATGGCATTGATGTCATAGAGGTAGTATTCTTTGTATTTAACAATGCTAACTTTTGTTTGATGTTCCTGTTTTAGGTGAGATTGCCCTGTTACTGGACCGACCCAGAGCAGCAACTGTTGTGTCTCGAGGACCTCTCAAATGTGTCAAAATGGATCGTGGACGCTTTGAGCGTGTCCTTGGACCCTGTGCCGACATCCTGAAAAGAAATATCTCTCAGTACAACAGCTTCGTATCTCTGTCAGTCTGAGGTCAGAGGTCACAGATGCATGCTGGGATCTGTGTGTCGCTTCTGCGTCCCCATCAGGCCGTTTTGCCGCCGTCTTAAAACAGCGGAACCATTTACTAACATTGATGACTCGTCGCGTGTACTTAAACTCTCCTAAAGACAGATTGTTCCATAAGATGATGTTCATAAAGAACAGTGTATTTATGTTTTGGCCAAAGTGTTACGTTCTAAATATGAGGACTCCAAACTGGAGTTTTACACCAATGATATTAATTCCAAAGAACACCACAATAGCTACTGATGTATTTCAGGAAACCTTGCTCTTTAATTTTTCCCCCGTCTGTTATATATCTGTAATATTTGTTGAGTGGTCAAAACCAAATATTTGTATCCTGTCTTCTTCCCTATTCCATTTTACGGAACACCTGGCCAATGAAAAGTCTTGTTTGTATGACGGTAAACGTTTGAAATAGTTGTAAGTATACTGTCAGTGCAGCTGGTTTGGAATGATTTGTCACAATACATAATGTTTAGGATTGCAAGCTGTCAGACAATGATTTGTGGAGCACAGCCACCTCAGGGTTAGTGTCTGGGTTTGAATCTCAGCAAAGATTTGCATGCATGCTATCTGCACTTAATCAAATATAGAAAATAATAAATATTACATCTTTTAATGAACAGAATGTAATTTGAGAGGATTTCTTTCTATAGGAAGATAACTATCCTTGGCCAGGTGTAAAATATGACATCAGTTGTGGATTAGCAGCAGAGCAAGCAAACACAATCAGTAATAATTCTCATTTATATGGGCAGCAAAGTTGCTTTGTAATTTTAGTTTTTGTAATAAACTGTTAATTTCATTTGATATTTTTGTAATTAGACACTATGACCACTGCTCGTCTTGTGTTTGTGATGTGTAACGCCAGCATGAACAAACATGTCCACCAGATGTAGATACGAAATATTTCCCAGCTTCCTTCAAGACAAACGTGTGATGTGTACAAACAGTCGTAAACAGTTTTCATGACGATAAGAAATTCAAAAGGGTTTTACCAGTTTCACAGCTTCTAATGGTTCATGAAATCTTTGAAATACTTTGTGAGTACAGAGTTATATGAAGGGAGAAATAACATAGAACTTAAAAGCGTGGCAGCTGAATCAGGTGCCTCTCTTGGATGACTGCTGTGTACCGGGATATTAGCCTACACTCACTGTAGGGGACTGGATACTACCAGTCAGGGTGATGGATGGAACATGAGGCTGCCCTGCCTGTTGTCATATTTCGACTATAATAAGGCCATTCAACTATAATAAGGCCATATATTTTCTTGCCATCGTTTACCGATCCACCGACCATACAAATAGAAAATTCAGAAAAAAACGTTATCAGTAAACGACAAGGTTTTTTTAATCCTGTTTATGGTAAAGATTGCTTTGACAACAAAAATGCTGCTGTCAGATTTTAGATTTAATATATTTATGAGAACCCAGACCAGGCCACAATGTGTTTTTTTTTATCAAAAAAAAAGAAAAGATTTGGCCTTAATATAGTTAATGTGTAATAGAAACAGAGTGATAGAACAATGGTCAGGTTCAGGGAGCCATGTGGTTCTTGCAACTGTTCCTTAGAACACAGACAGATTCTCGGCCTTAGAACGCAGCCAGATTCTCGGCCTTAGAACGCAGCCAGATTGTCGGGTCACATGAACAGCACATGGTTGTGTAGATCTTAAATTCTCACTCAAGGCCCAAGAGAGCACTGTCCAGAGATGGTAATTATGTCTAATACAGTACACTGGCTTTACAGAAATTACTACCTGAAATATTCCTAGTGTTGTAGCGAATGCAGTATTTGAGCCAGTATTTTATTACGAAATATGGTATTGAAATGTCGCTCCACAAATATGGTAATATTCTTAAATCAGGCCGAATCGGAAGCACTTGTAACAGGTCTAACTTGCTGCCTTGTTTATTTATTTTGTTATTTATTTCATGTAGACGAGATATTAAACCACTTGTTTTCAAACTAGTCATAGTTTGGTGTATAGAATAAAACGCTGTTCTAGGTGGATGATGATAGTCATTGGTTGTCATGGTAACCTTGTTATATAAAATGGATCATGTTACTTTTTGAGTTCATCTGTGAATATCATATCTCAGCTGCAATATTATTAATTTAAAATAATTACAGTTACTGTATACATGTCAGGGAAAAGATCAGCTCCATGACCTTGATTGATGTTGATTGATGTGCATCCAGCTGCTTTAAACATACATCCGCTGACAAGTGTACATAGTTATGCCACCATGTACAGATTGCCTAACTGCCACACACTTTTATTCAGCTATAAATATTCCCATATTTGGGAAATGTGTTTGTTATCGAATTTTGTAAAAACCTTGACTTTCTGTTAATTACAAGTCATATTTTGTTATTGCTGTTTCTAAACAAAGAACTTATTTTGACAATTGCAATACATGTACATGTACCAATTCCTAGCTTTCATAATGCTTGCTGTATAGGAAACTATCACAGGTCGCTAGTGTGAGATTTCATCATGAAGTATAACAAGTGTATTCAAGCTGAAGATAGTACAGCTTGGTAGTTCTCATGGTCAATCCAGATACTTGTATTCATGGTATATTTTGCTTGACTAGCTGGACCTCTCATTATCTTTCATGTCAGAACTTTTGTCTTTAGTATGGTTATCTTGAACAGATCTCACATTATTTCAACATAAATGGGCCAAATCTACTGAGAAGGGGGTAGTTTAACCATGTGTATCTTCTGTCTTGGAGATAGCTACGATATGGAGTTTTACAATGTTCGATTTTGTTAGGAATTCACACGTACCTTATTACATCTTTTTTTTCAAAATGAAAATGATTATGTAATGCACAGAAACTGATAATCAAGTACAAATGTTGACAATAGTCTCAGGTAGGATAATAGGGTTTCTCCCAAAGGAAGTCAAATTTAGTCAAGAGAGCACCCAAATATTTTGTTTTAGCTGTGATGACAGTGTATATATCCTTCTCAAATGAAGTTAAAGAGCACCCTATTTTTAGTAAAATAAGTTAGTCTGTCATGGCTGGTGGGTATTGCAACACACAGCCTTCCAATTGGTTGTCCTTTAACTTGTTTTGAGTAAGAATGGGTCCCTAGGGCTACATAGGTATTTGGATATTTTAAAATGTTATGATACGCAACAAAATTGTTCGGAATTCATACTTGAGTATATCTCCACCTTGGGCCCCGCCACCTTCAGCCCCACCCTCTTCGGCCCCACCCCTCTTCCCCCACCCCCACCTGCTGACTGTCTCTACAGCCGTGTGCATGTATGTATGTGTTAACACTGTGGCTCTACTGGGACAGGCCAGACAGTATTTGTTATCTAACAGAGTGGATATATTTATGTGCTTTGCTGGCAACTAACCATTGTATGATGACTTTAGATAGTTGAGACCTGTTGTAGTTGTAGCCAATCACAGGGCTGGTTAGATCTGTTCTTAACCAATCAGATTGGCCAATATGTACAACTTTTGGTTCATATTAAACAGGTGTATTTTACAAATGTCACAACTGTTGTTCTGCATAGTTCAGACAAAGCTATAACAACGTACCAGAATAAATGATAATTTATGCCCTGTTTGTCAGAGTTTGTTTTCTTCTTTTGTTGATATTTAATAAGAAACAAAAATGTTATTGTAAAATGTATTATTCCACAATGATAGACATTGATCACGTTGCGATATGCTGCCATTAAGGATAGATTGTCTTCGTTGGATTCACAACAAATGATGGACATTGCATTTATGTACAAAATGCACCAAAATGGGCATTTTTATGATCACTCAACACATAAGTTAGTTGGTTGTTTAACGCCGCACTCAACAATATTCCAGCTACTCCAGTCTGTCTCAACCATATACTCTGATTGACATCATTAGGTGGTCAGGCTCGGTGGCTATCTGTCATTGTGCCCGTATGGAATGGGACATTGCTCATACCGTCAACCACTTGTTAGTCTTGTCGGACTTACATGCTGCCTTCACACAGCGAGAATATTGCTGACAGCGGCGTCAAATAAACAAACAAACACAATGTCATCAATAATTATCATAATCATTTCACTACATATTGTCATACTTATAGCCACTTATATTGACTTGATTATGTCTGCAATTAGAAGTAACTTTGAAAAAACAATGTTTGGATTATTACTTCATCGTATCACAGCATTTCAGCAGATCCTTGTATGAAGGGAAGCAACTCAGTACACAGCAACACTACTAGAGATTCTGTGTGTGTGTGTGTGTGTGTGTGTGTGTGTTTTCAAAGTAAAAACTTTGTCTTACAGTGTCTTTAGAGAGAGCTACATTTCTGATACCAACCAGGTAACAAGACAACCGAGCTTTCTTTTCAATATTCTATCTTGATAAAACACAAGCTTGAGTAACATTTTAAACCAATCCAGAGACCACACTGACTCATTCATCATAGCTTAAGGCTTACTGTATTCAAGTATCCGGAAACTTCAAAGCAAGTCAACAATACTTGGCAAGTTTAGATATCCTGCTGGCTCCTTTGTACCGTATATTAAAAGACATTTCAATGAAACCCCTCAAAAACATTCATTTCAGAGATGAAAAGTCAGTCTCTTTGAGATCATTTACAATAGACTTGTCCACTTTTGTAACTGTTATTATATGTATATTTAAATTGGAAATGAGAACAATATTACATTTATTTTGGTGAAGTGTTTGTGCACGTGAAACTGTTTTATGCCACTCTGTTCATATGATGTGGAAGATGTATGACCGAGACACGTATCCAATACACAACACATTTAAGACTTTGTATACATGGCTTATTATACTAACTAGTATTGACATGTTTTGCTAACTAAAAACAATTGGTAAAAAAGACATAATTAGACATGCGATGAGTAGACCAATGAAGATATTCTCGATGCTGTATCGCAGCCCCGACGTCCGAGGTTTGTGGTAGACACGCCCCATCTTCTGGTAGTGGCGCACCACCCCCGTCAGGTCGTTCTGCAGAGTGGGGGAGTACCCCAGCTGGCTGTGGGCCTTGGAGATACTGAATGTGTGGGTCACACCTGTCTTGTACACCTGGGGAGAGGAAAGAGTACAGTGATGCACAGGCACAGCCAAGGCGATGTTCACAGTGACTGAGTGAGTCGTGTCTGACGCTGCCAGTGGAGGGTGCAAGTACTGTATGTGAGGAGTATTGACGTTAAGTGAGAATTCCTTTTGCTAGCAGCACCCTTTTTTGGAGAGCTGGGATTTGAATCACTTCAATCAAACTTTCCAAGATTGTCATTTAGATATCTTTTCACAAGATCATCCATCAACTACTCCAGCACCCATCTACCACTCCAGCACCCATCTACCACTCAACCACCCATCTACCACTCCACCACCCGTCTACCACTCCACCACCCGTCTACCACTCCACCACCCATCTACCCACTCCACAACCCATCTACCCACTCCACAACCAATCTACCCACTCCACCACCCGTCTACCACTCCACCACCCATCTACCACTCCACCACCCATCTACTCACTCCACCACCCATCTACCACTCCACCATCCATCTACCACTCCACCACCCATCTACCCACTCCACCATCCATCTACCACTCCACCACCCATCTACCACTCCACCACCCATCTACCCACTCCACCATCCATCTACCACTCCACCACCCATCTACCACTCCACCACCCATCTACCCACTCCACCCCCCCATCTACCACTCCACCACCCATCTACCACTCCACCATCCATCTACCCACTCCACCCCCCATCTACCCACTCCACCACCCATCTACCACTCCACCACCTATCTACCACTCCACCACCCATCTACCGCTCCACCACCCATCTACCACCCGTCTACCACTCCACCGCCCATCTACCACTCCACCGCCCGTCTACCACTCCACCACCCATCTACCACTCCACCGCCCATCTACCACTCCACCACCCATCTACCACTCCACCACCCGTCTACAACTCCACCGCCCATCTACCACTCCACCACCCGTCTACCACTCCACCGCCCATCTACCACTCCACCGCCCGTCTACCACTCCACCACCCATCTACCACTCCGCCGCCCATCTACCACTCCACCACCCATCTACCACTCCACCACCCGTCTACCACTCCACCGCCCATCTACCACTCCACCACCCGTCTACCACTCCACCGCCCATCTACCACTCCACCACCCATCTACCACTCCGCCGCCCATCTACCACTCCACCACCCATCTACCACTCCACCACCCGTCTACCACTCCACCGCCCATCTACCACTCCACCACCCGTCTACCACTCCACCGCCCATCTACCACTCCACCGCCCGTCTACCACTCCACCACCCGTCTACCACTCCACCGCCCATCTACCACTCCACCACCCGTCTACCACTCCACCACCCATCTACCACTCCACCGCCCATCTACCCACTCCACCACCCATCTACCACTCCACCGCCCATCTACCACTCCACCCCCCGTCTACCACTCCACCACCCATCTACCCACTCCACCATCCATCTACTCACTCCAACCCCCATCTACCACTCCACCACCCGTCTACCACTCCACCGCCCATCTACCACTCCACCGCCCGTCTACCACTCCACCGCCCGTCTACCACTCCACCGCCCATCTACCACTCCACCACCCGTCTACCACTCCACCACCCATCTACCACTCCACCGCCCATCTACCCACTCCACCACCCATCTACCACTCCACCGCCCATCTACCACTCCACCCCCCGTCTACCACTCCACCACCCATCTACCCACTCCACCATCCATCTACTCACTCCACCCCCCATCTACCACTCCACCACCCATCTACCCACTCCACCATCCATCTACTCACTCCAACCCCCATCTACCACTCCACCATCCATCTACCACTCCACCATCCATCTACTCACTCCACCATCCATCTACTCACTCCACCATCCATCTACTCACTCCACCATCCATCTACCACTCCACCATCCATCTACCGCTCCACCCCCCATCTACCACTCCACCGCCCATCTACCACTCCACCATCCATCTACCACTCCACCCCCCATCTACCACTCCACCGCCCATCTACCACTCCACCACCCATCTACCACTCCACCCCCCATCTACCACTCCACCACCCATCTACCACTCCACCCCCCATCTACTCACTCCACCACCCGTCTACCACTCCACCGCCCATCTACCACTCCACCACCCATCTACCACTCCAACCCCCATCTACCACTCCACCACCCATCTACCACTCCACCATCCATCTACCACTCCACCCCCCATCTACCCACTCCACCACCCATCTACCACTCCACCATCCATCTACTCACTCCACCACCCATCTACCACTCCAGCACCCATCTACCCACTCCACCACCCATCTACCACTCCAACCCCCATCTACCCACTCCACCACCCATCTACCCACTCCACCACCCATCTACCCACTCCACCGCCCATCTACCACTCCACCACCCGTCTAGCACTCCACCACCCATCTACCCACTCCACCGCCCATCTACCACTCCACCATCCATCTACTCACTCCACCATCCATCTACTCACTCCACCACCCATCTACCACTCCACCACCCATCTACCCACTCCACCATCCATCTACCAACCGACCACTCCACCACCCATCTACCACTCCACCACCCATCTACCACTCCACCACCCGTCTACCACTCCACCACCCATCTACCACTCCACCACCCATCTACCACTCCACCACCCATCTACCACTCCACCACCCATCTACCCACTCCACCATCCATCTACCAATCTACCACCCATCTACCACTCCAACCCCCATCTACCACTCCACCACCCGTCTAGCACTCCACCACCCATCTACCCACTCCACCACCCATCTACCCACTCCACCACCCATCTACCACTCCAACCCCCATCTACTCACTCCACCACCCATCTACCACTCCACCACCCATCTACCCACTCCACCACCCATCTACTCACTCCACCGCCCATCTACCACTCCACCACCCGTCTACCACTCCACCATCCATCTACCCACTCCACCACCCATCTACCACTCCACCATCCATCTACCCACTCCACCACCCATCTACCACTCCACCACCCATCTACCCACTCCACCGCCCATCTACCACTCCACCGCCCGTCTACCACTCCACCACCCATCTACCACTCCGCCGCCCATCTACCACTCCACCACCCATCTACCACTCCACCACCCATCTACCACTCCGCCGCCCATCTACCACTCCACCACCCATCTACCACTCCACCACCCGTCTACCACTCCACCGCCCATCTACCACTCCACCACCCGTCTACCACTCCACCGCCCATCTACCACTCCACCGCCCGTCTACCACTCCACCACCCGTCTACCACTCCACCGCCCATCTACCACTCCACCACCCGTCTACCACTCCACCACCCATCTACCACTCCACCGCCCATCTACCACTCCACCCCCCGTCTACCACTCCACCACCCATCTACCCACTCCACCATCCATCTACTCACTCCAACCCCCATCTACCACTCCACCACCCGTCTACCACTCCACCGCCCATCTACCACTCCACCGCCCGTCTACCACTCCACCACCCGTCTACCACTCCACCGCCCATCTACCACTCCACCACCCGTCTACCACTCCACCACCCATCTACCACTCCACCGCCCATCTACCCACTCCACCACCCATCTACCACTCCACCGCCCATCTACCACTCCACCCCCCGTCTACCACTCCACCACCCATCTACCCACTCCACCATCCATCTACTCACTCCACCCCCCATCTACCACTCCACCACCCATCTACCCACTCCACCATCCATCTACTCACTCCAACCCCCATCTACCACTCCACCATCCATCTACCACTCCACCATCCATCTACTCACTCCACCATCCATCTACTCACTCCACCATCCATCTACTCACTCCACCATCCATCTACCACTCCACCATCCATCTACCGCTCCACCCCCCATCTACCACTCCACCGCCCATCTACCACTCCACCATCCATCTACCACTCCACCCCCCATCTACCACTCCACCGCCCATCTACCACTCCACCACCCATCTACCACTCCACCCCCCATCTACCACTCCACCACCCATCTACCACTCCACCCCCCATCTACTCACTCCACCACCCGTCTACCACTCCACCGCCCATCTACCACTCCACCACCCATCTACCACTCCAACCCCCATCTACCACTCCACCACCCATCTACCACTCCACCATCCATCTACCACTCCACCCCCCATCTACCCACTCCACCACCCATCTACCACTCCACCATCCATCTACTCACTCCACCACCCATCTACCACTCCAGCACCCATCTACCCACTCCACCACCCATCTACCACTCCAACCCCCATCTACCCACTCCACCACCCATCTACCCACTCCACCACCCATCTACCCACTCCACCGCCCATCTACCACTCCACCACCCGTCTAGCACTCCACCACCCATCTACCCACTCCACCGCCCATCTACCACTCCACCATCCATCTACTCACTCCACCATCCATCTACTCACTCCACCACCCATCTACCACTCCACCACCCATCTACCCACTCCACCATCCATCTACCAACCTACCACTCCACCACCCATCTACCACTCCACCACCCATCTACCACTCCACCACCCGTCTACCACTCCACCACCCATCTACCACTCCACCACCCATCTACCACTCCACCACCCATCTACCACTCCACCACCCATCTACCACTCCACCACCCGTCTACCACTCCACCACCCATCTACCACTCCACCACCCATCTACCACTCCACCACCCATCTACCACTCCACCACCCATCTACCCACTCCACCATCCATCTACCAATCTACCACTCCACCACCCATCTACCACTCCAACCCCCATCTACCACTCCACCACCCGTCTAGCACTCCACCACCCATCTACCCACTCCACCACCCATCTACCCACTCCACCACCCATCTACCACTCCAACCCCCATCTACTCACTCCACCACCCATCTACCACTCCACCACCCATCTACCCACTCCACCACCCATCTACTCACTCCACCGCCCATCTACCACTCCACCACCCGTCTACCACTCCACCATCCATCTACCACTCCACCATCCATCTACCCACTCCACCACCCATCTACCACTCCACTACCCATCTACCCACTCCACCATCCATCTACCACTCCACCACCCATCTACCACTCCACCACCCATCTACCACTCCACTACCCATCTACCACGCCACCACCTATCTACCACTCCACCACCCTTCCAACCACTCCACCACCCGTCCAACCACTCCACCACCCTTCTACCACTCCACCACCCATCTACCCACTCACCTCTGTCCTTGTCAGCAAGGGCTGGAAGTTGTAGATGCGGCCGATGACAGAATGGACAATTTCTGTTATGAAAGCTGCAACACAGAAAATGGATCTTTGGAAGTGATCCTGTCTTCAAGCCAAGTTAGTTCTGTACAGCACACACTACACACGTGACACAGCATGCACTTTAACAAACATTATGTCATTGTCTAAACATACTGATAATGTGCTTTCATGACATAAGAAAAAGAGTATATATATTTCATCACTATGGAAACATTGTGAGCTTGTTGTCTGCCTACGTACCGAAGTAAAACACCGGGAGGAGTGGAAGGTTTACTGTTGGGTACCGGTAGCCCAGACCTTCGATCTGCAAGGAAAGTATCAGTCTGAATGTCTGAACAGCAAGCACAATTGTCCCCCCTTGTGTCACTCAGGGACAAGTCATCCGTTTGTGGCCATTTTATCAACTTGGTTTTTTAGCATTGCCCAAAAAGATACCATGGTCAACTTTTTAGCCGTTTACAAACACTTGTTATTGAAAGGTGAATCAATGGTACCTTTGGCATAGTCTTAGATACAATGTATCAACCATAAAACACAGAATGTTGATAAAGGAAAGATTCTTTGACCACAATACAATCTGATTGGTTGGTTGTATTTTCACACATAACATTGATCAACAGGTCTTCGAGCAGGCGATGTAAGGAGGCAAGTGTTGATGACTGTAGCACTCCATGTCAGCTACATCTTCATCAAACACTGCACATGTGAGTACTCAGGCGATGACAGGAGGGTCCGAATGGGGGTGTGTCGGTCACTTGGCACTTTTTGAGTCATGTTATTATAGTCTGTAAACCCCATCAAGACCCTCAGAATTGAAAGAGTGAGGAAGTTTGGGGGTTTGGAAACACCAGCTCTGACCAGATACAAATGGCTGCCATGTAAGTAGAAGTATGACATTCCTCAAAGACTAAACATTTGTATTTTTTGACCAAATAACGCTCTATGTTGTTCTTTGTTCAATAATGGTTTGTATATCAAAACAAGAATGATGATTGTTGGTCCTTCAATAAAATGGTACCATCAAATCTTGGCCACTGATGAAATTGAGATATTTCCACATGTATGATGGAATATGGGCATGCTGCTGTTGACTAAATACAAGTAATAAAACCTCATGTACAATTTGTCTGCAACAATTATAGAGCAGCATTAGTCAGATTTCCACACCTAAAGTATGACATCACACACCAAGGATAAGGTTGAGTCTACCAAGGACATGGTCTAGTCTTTCCAGGACATGGTCAAGTCTACCTAGGACAAGGTCGAGTCACCCAGGGAAAGGTCGAATCTACCCAGGACATCGTCAAGTCTACCTGGGGCAAGGTCTTCCCAGCACAAGGTCGTGTCTACCCAGGACAAGGTCGAGTCTACCCGGGAAAAACCAGCCCCATCACCCAACCTCATCAGATCAGACTTCTTACATAACAACCAACATAGGCGTGACATTCACCTCCAACAAGGTACTTAGAAACATCTTACACGCCAACGGTAAAGGTCCCATCCAGTCCACCCTAAACCCAAGGACGTGTGTGTACGAGATGTCAACTGCAGACACAAATACATTGGAGAGACTTCACGCCTCATAGCCACCAGAATAAAAGAACACAATATCCCTTTTGAAAAATCTGACATGAAATTTGTCCTTTCGGAACAAAAATCCTGACCACCATGTTTCCTGAAAATGTTTTGTTGAATCAAGTTGATGTGGTCTGATCTGGGCAGATTTATTATTCAAAACCTAAAGGAGGAGCCGCCATGACCCTGGACATGCAGTTTACTTGTCATAAGGCCATCCTACGGGAGTACTTGTTTCAGCAGCTGACTGTTGAGGTATGACACAAACAGCACAACCTCGAGTGTATCTGGGATATGCATGTCTGTGTGTCAGACCCACTCCATTGATGGAGCTTGACAAGTGTTTGAAGAGAGTAGAAATACACAGTAGTGAGAATTTCAATGATTTTCCAAACTACTACAGTAAAGGAGACAGATTACTATTTTCTAAAAACAGAACTAGCTTAGCCTGTTGTGTCAGGGGATTTTAGGGGAGATTTTATTCACATCACTGATCATGCCTTGTAGGACGTGTTGGCAAGTGTGCAGATGTTGCTTTAGGTTATGGGGACATTTGAACACTAAAACAAAGACACAATGATAGCAATAATCTAGCGACCAGTGGTTGATAGCATGAGACAATGACATACAATCTGCCACGTCACAGAGCCTGACCACCCAATTCCCACCTATTCAGCACTTGACATGCACGAAGTACAGCAACCTGTCTGACAAGGAATCCACAGAAGGATAGATGAAGTTTTGCAAAACATGAAATATGAGAGATATGAACTGTCATGCCAGGTCAAAAGACAACAAAATCTACCATATTTCAACAAACATTCTACATTCAAAATATTATCAATCAGAACAAAGTCATGAATAACCTAGGTAATAACAGGCCTGGACATCTTCCATACAGACTGGATCTGGACCTGTGAGCTGAATGTCACACCACGGTGAAGCATCAGGTGCAGTAACAATGTGCAGTCTTTCACGCAGCATCACTGGTCAAACAGTATTAGTCTTGTCAAATTCACCAGTCACACATCATGTGTAGATTATACGAATGCTTCACTCAGATAACAAGAGGCCCATAGGGCTTGTATCACACACCTGGATATTTACGCAATCATGACAAAATATACATTTGCATTGTGCATGTATATAATACTGCAAATATTTCATAATTTTGACTCTGTCAGCATTTAAAAGGGGTGGATGGCATGGATGTTATGATCCAGGATCTAAGTTTCCAGATGTGGGGGTTTCAGCCCCTCCATTTCACCAATTTGAATCCCCACCATTGGAGAATGCTTCCAACTAAATATGGTTGATATCTATCTCCAAGTTCCAGAGAAGAAGTCGTTTACAGCAATAATGCCAAATTACCCCTATTTCGACCCGCCCCTCAGCCCCTTGGGGGATGATCAGCCCTTCCATTTGTACAATTTTGAATTCTCACCACCGGAGAATGCCTCTAACCATATATGGTTGATATCTATCTTAGTTCAAGAGAAGAAGTCGTTTAAAGCAATAACTCCAAATTACCCCTATTTGGCCCCACCCCTCAGCCTCTTGGGGGGTCAGCCCCACCATTTGTAAAATTTTGAATCCTCACCACCGGAGAATGCTTCCAAACCAATATGGTTGATATCTATGGAAGAATTCGTTAAAAGCATTACTGCAGTATCAGGAATGAATCACTGGGCTCCCTTTTATTATATTTTAATTAAGACAACTGAACAACTGTTTTTTCTGTACGATATGTTCATTTCAGAGACTAGATGTTAGTGTACCAAATTACGACTATTTGGCCCCGGCTCTCAGTCCCCTGGGGGGTCAGCCCCAATATTTGTACAATTTGAATCCCCACCACCTAGGGATGCTTCCAGTCAAATTTTGTTAGTTTCCAATTAGTGGTTCAGAAGAAGAAGTCGTTGAAAAAATGGCTGTGACATAAGCTCACCTTGGTCCGGGTGACCAGAGAGTGACCAGGCCGGTGAGTGACCAGACTAGTGAGTGACCAGACCAGTAAGTGACCAGACCAGTGAGTGACCAGACCAGTAAGTGACCAGACCAGTGAGTGACCAGACCAGTAAGTGACCAGACCGGTGAGTGACCAACCAGACCGGTGAGTGACCAGACCTGTGAGTGACCAACCAGACCGGTGAGTGACCAGACCAGTGAGTGACAAGACCGGTGAGTGAGTGAGTATGGTTTTACACCGCTTTTAGCAATATTCCAGCAATATCACGGCGGGGGACACCAGAAATGGGCTTCAAACATTGTACCCATGTCGGGAATCGAACCCGGGTCTTCGGCATGACGAGCTAACGCTTTAACCACTAGGCTACCCGACCGCCCCGACAAGACCGGTGAGTGACCAGACCGGTAAGTGACCAACGAGACCGGTGAGTGACCAGACAAGTGAGTGACCTGACCAGTGAGTGACCAGACCAGTGAGTGACCTGACCAGTGAGTGACCAGACCGGTGAGTGACCAGACCAGTGAGTGACCTGACCGGTGAGTGACCAGACCGGTGAGTGACCAGACCAGTGAGTGACCTGACCGGTGAGTGACCAGACCGGTGAGTGACCAGACAAGTGAGTGACCAGACCGGTGAGTGACCAGACCGGTGAGTGACCAGACCGGTGAGTGACCAGACCGGTGAGTGACCTGACCGGTGAGTGACCAGACCAGTGAGTGACCAGACCAGTGAGTGACCTGACCAGTGAGTGACCAACGAGACCGGTGAGTGACCAGACCAGTGAGTGACCTGACCAGTGAGTGACCAGACCAGTGAGTGACCTGACCAGTGAGTGACCAGACCAGTGAGTGACCAGACCAGTGAGTGACCAGGCCGGTGAGTGACCAGACCGGTGAGTGACCAGACCGGTGAGTGACCAGACCGGTGAGTGACCAGACCAGTGAGTGACCTGACCAGTGAGTGACCAGACCAGTGAGTGACCTGACCAGTGAGTGACCAGACCAGTGAGTGACCAACGAGACCGGTGAGTGACCAGACCAGTGAGTGACCTGACCAGTGAGTGACCAGACCAGTGAGTGACCTGACCAGTGAGTGACCAGACCGGTGAGTGACCAGACCAGTGAGTGACCTGACCAGTGAGTGACCAGACCGGTGAGTGACCAGACCAGTGAGTGACCTGACCGGTGAGTGACCAGACCGGTGAGTGACCAGACAAGTGAGTGACCAGACCGGTGAGTGACCAGACCGGTGAGTGACCAGACCGGTGAGTGACCAGACCGGTGAGTGACCTGACCGGTGAGTGACCAGACCAGTGAGTGACCAGACCAGTGAGTGACCTGACCGGTGAGTGACCAGGCCGGTGAGTGACCAGACCGGTGAGTGACCAGACCGGTGAGTGACCAGACCGGTGAGTGACCAGACCAGTGAGTGACCTGACCGGTGAGTGACCAGACCGGTGAGTGACCAGACCGGTGAGTGACCAGACCAGTGAGTGACCTGACCGGTGAGTGACCAGGCCGATGAGTGACCAGACCGGTGAGTGACCAGACCGGTGAGTGACCTGACCGGTGAGTGACCAGGCCGGTGAGTGACCTGACCGGTGAGTGACCAGACCGGTGAGTGACCAGACCGGTGAGTGACCAGCCAGACCAGTGAGTGACCAGACCAGTAAGTGACCAACGAGACCGGTGAGTGACCTGACAAGTGAGTGACCAAACCGGTGAGTGACCAGACCGGTGAGTGACCAGACCTGGGAGTGA